GATTAATCTCCATAATATATAAAGAACTCACACAACTGAATAACAAAAAAACAAACAACCCAATCAAAAAAATGAGTAGAGGAAATGAAAAGACATTTCTCCAAAGAAGATATACAGATGCCCAATAGGCACATGAAAAGACGTTCATCATCACTAGTCATCAAGGAAGTGCAAATCAAAACCACACTAAGATATCACCTTAGACCCATTAGAATGGCTACAATCATCAAGACAAAAAGCAACAAATGCTGGAGAGGCTGTGGAGAAATGGGAACCCTAATCCACTGCTGGTGGGAATGCAAACTGGTGCAGCCTCTGTGGAAAACAGTATGGAGATTCTTCAAAAAATTAAAAATAGAAATACCTCTGATCTAGCTATCCCACTACTGGGTATCTACCCAACGAACCTGAAATCAACAATCCAAAGAGGCCTATGCACCCCTATGTTCATCGCAGCATTATTCACTATAGCCAAGACATAGAAGCAACCGAGGTATCCCTCTAATGATGAATGGATAAAGAAGATGTGGTATATATATACCATGGAATACTACTCAGCCATAAAGACAGACAAAATCGTCCCATTTGCAACAAGATGGATGGACCTGGAGAGTATTATGTTAAGTGAAATAAGCCGGAAAGAGAAAGACAAACAGGGTATGATTTCACTCACATGTGCAAGAAAAACCAACACATGCACAGAACTGTTTGGTGGTTACCAGGGGCTAGGGGGTTGGGGGTGGGCACAAGGGATGGAGGGATACACTTATATGGTGACTGATAAACAATAATGTACAACAAAAATTTCACAATAAAAAAGTGCAAAAAAGAATATCATAAGGGCTCATGGATTTAAACATATTTGATGGATTTCAATTCATTGCAACTATTACCATTGTTGAAGCTCAAAGTATCATCTTGGCTCGTAGGAGCCTCTTCAAGTTCTGAGTCCTTTGACATGACTTCAGCAGTCTTTGACAGCCAATGCCCTAGGCTCATCTTATATATCTCTTGCCCCAGACCTGGAATCAGCCATTTCTCCAAAAAGCCCTAGTTTCCTTTAGTGAGAAATTGTCTTTCATGATGACAATCTGTTGCTAGGGGTGTTTGTTACTTCTAGGTGGTCACCGTTTCTGGGCCTTTTCAGTAAACAGAGCTAGGAAATATCTATCAGCAGATGGATAGACGGATGGATGGATGGGTGGATAGGGGGACAGAAAGAAAGATGGATAGATAGATAGATGGATAGATAAAAGGATACCTTGTGAGTTCATACTGATGTTTCTAGTTCAACACAGACTGCACAGCTTTGACTTGTATTCTTTCCTCTTACATCTGTGTTTGTTCTTCCTCACTGAGATCTGGTTCTCAAGGTTGATAGAATTAGATCATCCCACACTTACTCGTTTTATCTCCTCTTACACACACAAGATAACACTAGAGTAACACTAATGCTGCCACCACCAATAAAATGACTAAAACCATGAAAAATATTTTGCATGTCTTTCCCTGTTCTCCCTTGTTTTTTTTGTTTTTTTTTTTTTTTTAAAGATTTTATTTATTCAGTTTTTTCCCCCCAAAGCCCCAGTAGATAGTTGTATGTCATAGGTTCACATCCTTCTAGTTGCTGTACGTGGGACTCGGCCTTACGTTGGACGGAGAAGTGGTGCCTCGGGGCGCTTCCGGGATCCGAACCCGGGCCGCCAGCATCAGAGCGCGCACACTTAACCACTAAGCCACGGAGCCGGCCCTCTCCCTTGTTTAATAGCTGTGCTCTGTCGGCCTTGTCTGAGCAGGTGGCCAGCACGTGCTGTCCTCCCCTTCTCAGTTCTCATTTAGTCCTCGCTCTACAGGTGACCGTTGGTAGGACGCTTGGCTCCCTCCTGAGGCCCATGTCTCTGCTCCTCTGGTTGTCTGAAGCACGTTCTCTAGTGGATTCCACAGGAAGGCTCATGGGAACATATTCCTTGATTTCTTGCTTGTTGGTAATAGTTTATTTGTGCTTTATACTTAATGGTCAGTTTTGTTGGCTGTAAAATTCTTGGTTCAAATTTCCTCGAGTATCTCATGTTACTCCATTTTCTTCCAGTATGGAGTTGCCAGATGTAACAAAAACAAACAAATGGGATGCCCCAAATATTGCATGGGATGTTCTTGTACTGAAAAATTCTTTGTTGTTTATCTGAAATTCAAATTTAACTGGGCATCCTGTATTTATCTGATTGCCCTTCCTGGCATAAATCCTTGCTGTCGAAATCTGATAATAATCTAATTTTCTATCCTCTTATATGCCTTATGTGTTTTTTTTTAATTTGTTTGTTTTGTTTTTGTTTTCAGTTGTCCAAAAGGTTTTTTCTTTTTCTATTGAGTCCAATAATTTTACTAGAATGTCTTGGTGTTGATCATTCTGGGTCATCCACTGCAGCAAGAGCCGAGTGCCTGCTCTTCACCACGGCCTCTCCTCTTCCTGCCAGTGTCCCCCAGCCTTGCTCCAACCGCAGTGGGCCCCTCTCTCCTCAGTCACATCAGGCACCTCCACCTGTGCACTCTGCGGCCAGCTCCTTCTCTTCCTTTGGTTCTTAGCCTCAATGTCCCTTGTTCAGAAAAGCCCCTGGACCCTAACTAACCTTCCAGACTTGATACCCCATTGTCAGTCATCTCTCAGCCTCTCATTGGTTCCTTTCATGACGTTATTACAGTTTGTGATGAGCTTATTTATTATCTGGTTGTGTTATGGACATGAGCTGCTTGGGGCAGGGCCCCGCCTGCCTTGTTCTGTGCTGCATCCTCAGCAGTTGTAAGGGCCTCAGCAAACGTGAGGAGTGCGTGAAAGGCTGCAGGGAGAGGCACCCGCGTCAAGCGTCAGTGCCCGGCAGCAGGATGACAGTTTTTCACTTTGCACTTTTCATCTTTGTTTGTTGTTGTGAACCTCAGGGACGTGGAACTGGATGGATGTCAGTCCTTGGCAGCCTGTGTTCCGCGTTCTCAGGCGTGGGAGCCCGAGCCTGGTCTGACGTCCGTTCCTGAGCGGGGCCTGCTTGCAGCTTGCGCCCATTTTTTTATCGGGTTGTTTGTTTATATTCTTTAATCTTTCTAACCTTTTATTGGGAAATACAAATATGAGCTGAAAAGTTCAGAGCTGCCCTCTGCAAGCGCCTCTGCAGCAGCCACTCTTCAGACTCTCCCGGCGACCGCCCTTGTGCTTTTCGCATGACCTCAGGGAGAGAAAGTGGTTGTGCCCGTTTCTGAAGTTTTGCAGATGAAATCATCCTGCTGCGTTGTTTCCGTCTTCTTTCTTCGCCCAGTGGGATGTTTTCAGTGACCCTCCGGGTGGCGGCATTAGCAGCCATTGGCTTCCTTTGGTTGCCGAGTCCTAGTTGGTGGCCAGACAGCGCCATTGCCCTGCCCGCTGCACCCTCAGCCGGGCCTGCCCTCCTGTGTGGCACCCAGGGCGTGGGTGAGGGCTCGCCGCCACCGCAGGGCCTTCCCCTGCATGGAATTGCCGTGGCTCCTTTGTTCCAGACTCGCCTTTGTCTGCAGGGCAGCTGTCCTTGGCCTCCCTGACTGGCGGGTGATGGAGTCCACGGCATTGCACATCTGTTGGCAGCGAGGACTTCTTCAAGTCTTTCGCCCATTTTTCTATTGATTTGTCCTTCTTTTTCTTATCGATGGTCAGGGTTCTCTGTGTATGGAGGACAAGAGTCCTCTGGTTGTGTTGTGTATTTATCTCGTCCACCTTGGTGGCTGCTTTTCAGTCCTTTTCATGCCGCCCTGATTCACAGAAGCCTGAGCCTCAGTGTGCTCCTTCACCGCCTTTCTGTGTCTTCCATACTCCCCAGTTCTGTGCTCGGGAAGACGCTTCGCAGTATCTTACAAGAGCGGCAGTTCGTCTCACGGTTAGGCTAGAATCCGTATTTTCTCAGCTTGTACGGTGTGTGCCTCCTGCTGTTATTTTGTGTTACCATTACCAGGAGCCCACACCAACACTCGCGGCTGGCGGTGGGCCTGGTGCTGCCTCCCGCTCACTGGGTGGGCCGTGGATGCGGAGGCGTGGGCTCCAGGCCTGAATCGCTGCGGGTGGCTCTGGCATCTGCTGCTCCGAAGCCCTGGGGCCTCAGCTTCCCTGTGTGAGATGGGGTCATGACGATACCTCTCCCCTAGAGTTGTTCTCTGGAAGAAAAGAACTCTCACATCCAGTATGCCTCGAAGGGCACCTGCACGGTGTACATGCTCTGTCTTTGATTTTATTTTTATTAATCTCATGACCACTTCTTGATAGTCACTTTTTATCCCCATTTATTTATTTATTTATTTTTAAAATTTTATTTATTTATTTTTTTTCCCCAAAGCCCCAGTGGATAGTTGTACGTCGTAGTTGCACATCCTTCTAGCCGCTGTATGTGGGACGCAGCCTCAGCATGGCCCGACAAGCGGTGGTCGGTGCGCGCCCGGGATCCGAACCCTGGCCGCCAGCAGCGGAGCGCGCGCACTCAACCACCAAGCCACAGGGCTGGCCCTATCCCCATTTAAATATCAGGAAACAAAGGGTTATATTGCTGGTTCTCAAAGTGGTGTCCTCAGACCAGCAGCATCAGCTCTCCTGGGAATGTGTGAAAAGTGACACTCGAGCCCACCCAGCCCTGCGGGGCAGAGCTGAGGGGAGAGTGTAACAAGCCTGCCTGTGATTCTGATACTGCTAAAGGCAGCCCCCACACTTGAATCTGGGTCTCCCTGACTCAGCCCACTCTTTTACCTGCTGCCCTAAACTACCAAGCTTCTAACTTTTTAATTGGGTAAAACAATGTTATTTGGGAAAAAAGTCATTTGTCCCCTGGAGAGAAGTGAGTGGGCTTTTGCTATGTGCTCTTGTCCTTCTGCCCCTCGTAGAGGGCCATGGTGGGCCAGACCCCTAGCGCCATGGCCTTGGACCTTGTGGTGGTGGATGCACCAGCCAGCTTCAGTCTCGGTGGGGGACTGAGCCATCTGTTCGTTTCTTGCAGCTGCTCAGATGGAAGTTAAGAAGCCCTTTATTCTCTCCTCCATGCGACTTCCTCTCCTGGACACCAACAGCAAGGTAAATCGGTGGGGCCAGCCTGAGCTCCACCGTGAGCAGTCAGAAGGTGTGTGGCCTGGCCAGGATCTGAAGCCACCATTGACCAGGCAGCTGCCCTCTCAGCCAGACCTAGACAGCAGAGGGAGAGCGCAGGAGTGGGCACGCTGTGGAGTGGTGTGTCCAGGCCCACCACATCTTACCCTCGTACAATTAACCAGGTATGAAGTTAGGCAATGATCCCCAAGACCACCCTCAGGTTTGATAATTCTCTAGAAGGACTCTCAGAGCTCACGAGAGCCGTCACCCTCACAGTTACAGTTGGTTACGGGGAAAGGATGAAGACTGACCTCAGCCATGGGAAAGGCGCGTGGGGCAGGGCCCCGGAGGGTCCCGACTCCAGCTCCCGGGTGTCCTCTCCCTGTGGGGTCCTGGGCAGCCTTGACTCCTCTGGCAGCGATGTGACAGCACGCGGAGTGCAGCCAACCAGAGAAGCCCCAGCCTTATGTCCAGGGTCTTGATTGGGGCCTCTGCCATGCAGACCTGGTTGGTCACCCACATGGCTGACCTCAGTCTCCTGCCCCTCGGGAGTTCCTGGAGGAGGCACGAGCTCTGGGGAAGAGGGTGTGTTTTCGGCCACAGTGACCTGGCCGTGTCTTCGAGCCATCAGATGGAATTATTGAAGTGGGGCTGGAAAGCAGGCTCAGAACTCCCAGGAGGGTATGGGTGACAACTGCAGATTCAGGGACCTCACCTTGAAGGGTGAAACAGAGTCAGGGATGATGGCACGTGAGAGGTGCTGACCCTGAGGATCAGCAGCCTTACAGCCCAAGGTGGGGCTGAGCACTGGACAAAGGGCATGGGTGTGTTTGGAGCCAAAGAAGCAGCAAGTCTAGCATCTAGGGGAGGAGGGGGATGCTGGGGACACGAGGAGGAGGCCTTCCCCTAAGGATGTGAGCACGTCCACAGGTTGGCGAGAAGCCTGCCTGTAGCCAAGGGGCTGTGAAGAGGGTGCGGGTGGGCACAGGCATGGGTCAGGTGCAGGTGAGGGTATAGGTGCAGATACAGGTGCAGGTGAGGGTGCAGGTACAGTTTTGGGTGCAGGTATGATGTGGTACAGAGGTGGGTGTGGGTGCAGGTGTAGGTGTGATGCAAGTGCACCTGTGCAAGCACAGGTGTGGGAGCAGGTATGGGTACAAGTACAGGCACGGCTATAAGCATAGGTGCAGGTGTAGTTACAGGCACAGGTGCAGGCAGAGGAAAGGGCAAGATTCCTGTGTTCCAACCAGATCATGATAGCACTGTTCAGGAACTCTCTCTGAGGCCCCTCCCTGCTCTCCCTTGGTTCTGGTCAGGTGAAGCGGGCCGTGGTACAGGTGATCAGCGCCATGGCCCACCATGGCTACCTGGAGCAGCCTGGAGGCGAGGCAATGATTGAGTACATCGTGCAGCAGTGTGCACTGCCCCCCGAGACTGAGGTAAGGGGGCACTGCCTCACCTACCTGTTCTGGGGTCCAGGAGCTATCGGCCTCCTGAGCCCGCATTTCCCCACCTCTTGGGGGCTGTGGTCGTCAGCAGCTGCCTGGCCCCAGCTGGAGGGCAGCAAGGTGGGTGAATGCCCGGGCCTGGGTCTGTGTGCCAAGCAGCTTTCTCTAGTCCCTGTCAGGGCCTCTGCACCCTGGTGGCTCACTTCCTTAGCTCCCAGGACTCAGAAAGGAGAGGCAGAATAGACACTTGGCTCTCTTTGGGGCTTTTTTGTTTAAAAAGTTGCTAAGCAAATCCCAGTTTCTTCTTGAGGGAGAGCAAGGTAGACTGGTAAGAATAAACAGACATGACTGGGCGGTCTCAACGTCACTGCTGCGAGCGTGTGAGTGAGTACAGTGGCTCTTGGGCCCTCCTGCTCTGGGCCTGGTCTCTTGAAGTCCACAGAGCCGGCCTGTCTGCCGAGGGCAGCTCAGAACCGCGGTGGCCCTTCACAGGGCGCTCATGTGCCCCTAGATGAGACCTCTGCATTTATGTTGAAACACTGGAGTTCAGCAAGAGCGAGTGGCCGTCTGTTCCTTTGTCTCTAATAGCAACTGTCAGCCCTCGGCGAGGGAGCCCAGCTTAGCGCTTTTCCTGCAGGCCTCAGGGAGGTTGGGCCCACTGGTCAGTTTGGCCGATTTCAACCTCTTCACCTTCACGGCAGCTTCAGGGTCATTAGGCACGAACTGAAGAGAATCAAGACTTCTGCTGAGTCTATTAGTCCCCAGTATTTTGGGATTTGAAGATCTCTTTTAATGTTAGAAAACGAATAGACTCCCGTGGTAGGAATTTTAATTTTAATTCCTTTTGATGAAGAAGATTCTACTATGAATTCTGTTAATTTCTTGTCAACATTTTGAATAGGAAGAAATCTAACAGAGTAATTTTGAAAACAGCAGCAGCTGTGTGTGTGGAGCCTCTTGCTTGGTGCACTACTTGCGGGTGGCAGCCACGATGGATGTGTGCAGTTTGTTGTATCAGTCTTTCTACTTTTGTGTATGTTTCAAAATATCCATGATAAAATGTTTTTTAAAAAAACAAAAACGACTTATCACTCTGAGACAAGTTGGCCTTGGGGTGGTTGGCCTGACTCGCTGCAAAAGGAGACGAGCAGTAGTGGCAGAGGCCCTGCTGTGCGCCTTCGAGTGCACGGGCTCCATCCCCGGCTCAGAGCAAGGCTGTCACGTCGGGAAGGCACGCAGAGGTGCAGTGAGCCCCGACTGATTCTGAAACAATCAGTCAGATACAAGGGCATTGGGAAAGAGAAAAGGGGACCCAAAAAGCCTTGCTGGTTCTTAGATTCCCCTAGAATGTCTCTGGAGAAATGTAAGTTACAGATTAGAATTATTTATTGTTTATCATCATTTTGCTGTTTCATCTGTACTTTTTGCTTTTCCCCCAACTTTCTTTTAAAGTCAGAGTTACTGAAGTATAATTTGTATACAGTAAAATGTACCCTTTTAAGTGTACGGTTAGGTGCTTTTTGACAAGTTTACACAGTCATGCAGCCACCAGCACATCAGGACACAGAACATTCCAGGCCCCCAAATTCCCTTTGCCTCTTTGTAGCCAGCCCCTCCTCCACCCCGAGGCCCTGGCAACTCTCATCTGCCTTCTGTCCCTGCAGTTTACCTTTTCCAGAACGTCATCTAATGAATCATACAGTGCAGTGTCCTTTGAGTGTGACTTCTTTCATGTGTATCTTGCGTTTGAAGTCATCTGTGTTGTCACATATATCATAATTTGTTTGCTTTTACTGCTGAGTAGTATTCCACTGTATGGATATACCACAGTTTGTTTATCCACTCACCAGTAGAAGGACCTTTAAATTGTTTCCAGGTTTGGCAATTATGAATAAAGCCAACATGACCATTTGGGTACAGGTTTCTGCGAGGCATACGTTTGCACACTGTGGGTAAATGCCCAGGTGTAGGATTGCTGGGACAAATGGAAAGTATATGTTTACCTTCTTAAGAAACTTCCAAACTATTTTCCAACGTGGCTGTTCCACCAGCAGTGTATACATGAGAGTTCCTGTTGCTTGATACCCTACTGAGCACTGGGGGTTTTTTGGTCAGCGTTGTTTGTTCGTTTCTTAAGCCATTCTAACAGGGTGGTATGTCACTGTGGGTTTAATTTGTGTTTCACTCATTACTATTGATGTTGACTATCTTCTCATGTGCTTATTTGCCATCATATATCTTCTTTGATTAAGTGTCTGTTCATATCTTTTGCCTGTTCTTAAATTGGATTGTTTATTTTCTTATTATTGAGTATTGAGTGTTCTTTACATATTCTGGGTAAAAGTTCTTTCTCAGATTTATCGTTTGTAAATATTTTCTGACGAGTCTGTTGCATGCTTGTCTTTTTCTTTTTCTTTTTTTTTGGTGAGGAAGATCAGCCGTGAGCTAACGTCTATGCCAATCCTCCTCTTTTTGCTGAGGAAGATTGGTCCTGAACTGACATCCGTGCCGATCTTCCTCCACTTTATGTGGGGCGCTGCCACAGCATGGCCTGACAAGCAGTGCATCAGTGCACGCCCGGGATCCGAACCTGGGCCACCAGCAGCAGAGCACGCACATTTAACTGCTACGCCATGGGGCCGGCCCCTCTTTTTATTTTCTTAACAGTGTTTTTCAAAGAGCAGAAGTTTTAATATTTTAGAAGTCCAACTTATTAGTTTTTTTATTTATGGATTATGCTTTTGGTGTCCTAGCTACTAAATCCTTGCATAATCCAAGGTCACAAAGATTTTCTCCTATGTTTTCTTCTAGAAGTTTTAGATTTTTACATTTAGGTCTGTGATCCATTTTGAATTAACTTTTGTTTAAATGTGAGGTATGGGTTGAGGTTCATTATTTTGCATGCGGATGTCCAATTGTTCCAGCACCATATGTTGAGAAGACTCTTCTTTCTACATTGATGAATTGTCTTTGCATCTTTGTCAAAAATGAAGTGCCTTTATGGACTCTATTTTGTTCCACTAATCTGTGTCTGGCCTTTTGTCAGTACACACTGTCTTGTTACAGCTTTATAGTAAGTTCAAAGTCGGTTAGTGTGAGTCCTCCAACTTCAGTCTTCTTTTCTATTGTGTTTGCTATTATAGTTCCTTTACTTGTCCATATAAGTTTTAGAATCATCTTGTTGATTTCTACAAAAATAAACTTGTTGGAATTTTGATCAGGATTGTGTTGAATCTGTAGACCATTTGGGAAAAATTGATATCTTCATAATATTATCTTCCATTCCATGAAAATGGTATATCTCTACATTTATTTAGGTCTTCTTTGATTTATTTCATCAGTATTTTATAATTTTCAGCATATAGATTCTGTGCGTATTTTGTTAGATTTATAACTATTTTATATTTCAGTGCTGTTGTAATAGTATAGTTTTGTTAATTTAATCTCTACTAGTGTATAGAAATACAATTGATTTTTATATGTTGACCTTGTAGCCTGTGGCCTTGGTTTCTACAGATTCTTTGGAATTTTCTACAAAGAACGTGTCTTCTTCTAATAGACAGTTCTACTCTTCCTTTCCAGTCTGAATGCCTTTTATTTCTTTTTCTTGCCTTATTGCATTGGTTAGAACCTCCAGTACAATGCTGAATACAAATAGGGAGAGTAGACGTCCTTGGTTTATTCCCAATCTAAGGGGAACACATTCGGTCTTTTATTATTAAAGATCCTGCTTTAAGTTCTTTTGGATATAAATAATTGCTTTTTAAATGTTGAATGAACCTTTCAGTACCAAGATAAACCTCACTTGGTCATGATTTATTATCCTTTTAATATATTGCTGGATTGGATTTGCTGATATTTTGTTGAGAGATTTTACCTCTCTGCAGGAGGGATATTGGTCTATATCCATGTAATGTGTTTCACTGGTAATGCTGGTGCCTCATTAAGTGAGTTTGGGCATGTTCCCTCCTCTTCTAATTTCTGGAAGAGTTTGTAAAGAATTGGTATCATTTTTCCTTACATCTTTGGTAGAATTTCTCAATGGAGCCATGTGGGCCTGGAGGTTTCTTTGTTGGAAAGTTTTTAACCATGAATTCGACTTCTTTAATAGACTAAGGACTATTTAGGTTATCTGTTTTTCTTGAGTAAGCTTTGGTAGTATATCTCTGGGTCAAAGGTCCTAAGACCACCTACATGCTTGGTAATTCACTAGAAGGACTTGCAGGACTCAGGCGATTGTACTCACGAATGCAATCCACGTGCAGATTTCCTGTGCTCTCCCAGAAGGGGCCACAAAGAAAACTCTCCCTCCTGCCGCAGTGAAATGCAGCAACACAAGTGCAAGGTTTCTGCCCAGGGAAGCCGGTTTGAGATTCAGAGTCCAAGGTTTTTATTGGAGGTAGGCACTCTCTGCCAGCCATAGCCACTAAAATTCCAGGCTCTCAAAAAGAAAGCAGGTGTTTAGTGAGTGCCTCAAGCAGTCAAAACAATCTTATCACTTAGGGAATATCTCAAAAGCCAAGTTCCCTAACGTAAAATACTTCAGGTGATATGGGAAACAGTATGGTGAATCTTCAAAAAATTAAACAGGGAATTACCATAGGATCCAGCAATTTCACTTCTGGGTATATACCCAAAAGAATTGAAAGCAGGATCTTGAAGAGATATTTGTACACCTTTGTTCATAGCAGCATTATTCACAATAGCTACAATGTGGAAGCAACCCAAGTGTCCATCGATGGATGCATAGATAAACAAAGTATAGTCTATCCATACAATGAAATATTATTTAGCCTTAAAAAGGAGGGAAGTACGAACACATACTACAACATGTATAAACTTTGATAATTTGCTAATTAAACTTCTACCTACTAGTTTTACCATCATTTGATGATTTTCTAACTCCATTAATTTTTCTATACTTGTTTTTTGGCCCTCTGTTGTAACAAAGAGCTTTTCCTATTCTTATGTTCATATGTATATCTCAGTTTGGACTCACGGGTTGCTACTTTATGTGATGGTCTATAATCCATTTCTGTCATTGGTTTTGGTGTTCAAATTGTTCTGACTTTGGCCAGTGGAAGTCCTGGTTGAGCTGCCTCCTGTGTCCTTGTGGTGTGTTTCCATCATTCCTGGAGCCTTTCCTTACTTCCTGGCACAGAAGGATGCTCTGGGCTCACTTTGAACTGTCCTCACCTCCAGCTCTGTGAACCCTTTTCAGATGAGTTCTTTTTATCTTTTATTTCTGGGGAATTTCTCTCCTTTATTTCTTTAAATTTTTCTTTCTCTCCATTTTTATTTCTCTCTAATTCTAGTGCTTCTATAATATCTTTCTTTCTTTTTTTTTTTTTTTGTGAGGAAGATCAGCCCTGAGCTAACATCTGATGCCAATCTTCTTTTTTCTGAGGAAGCTTGGCCCTGAGCTAACATCCATGCCCATCCTCCTCTACTTTATATGGGATGCCGCCACAGCATGGCTCGACAAGCAGTGTGTCAGTGCGCACCCGGGATCCGAACCGGCGAACCCTGGGCTGCTGCAGTGGAGTGCGCGCACTTAACCGCTTGAGCTACAGGGCCAGCCCCTGAGCATGCTTTAAAAATTGTTATTCAAGGCCTAAATATCCCTATTTTTTCTACTTGACCTTTGATTTCTAAGTGAGAGATGTTAAAAGTCTCGTATAATCATTGCAGTTTTGCCAGTTTCTCTTTGTTGGTCAGCGTTTGCTTTTTGGTGTTTCGAAGCATGAATGGAAGGCTCAGACAGGGCCTTTAGAAAACAGAAGTCGTTTCCTTGTATGGGACCTTCCCAGGGAGCCAGGCTTTGGACCCTGTGTCACCCGCGAGGACACCCGGTGTCTCCAGAGGAACTGCAAGCCTACGCAGGCTGCTGAGGCTGCAGTCTGTTCTTGTAGAAAATGGCAGTTTTCTTGGGTGATTATCATTTCCACAAAGGCCCTCTCATTTCTGCGGATGTCAGCGTGGCCAAAGTCAAGGATGAAGTTATTTCTTGTAGAGTCAGTGGCCTACAGGAAATGCTCAAGGTTTCCTTTTTTTGGAGACTAGACTAAGCCAGGTGAGCCTGTTCCTGGGGCGATTTTAGTGTAGAGTGTGTTTCCTGCCTGTGGCAGGTGACAGGTGTCCCCTCGGTGGAGGCCGGGCAGGGTCTGTCCTGCTTCCATGCAGGCTGTGTTCTCATGCCCAGAGCCCATGACCGTGGACACTGGGAACCTTGGAGCATGGGGAGCGATGCGGCTGCTCGCCCCACGTGTGCTCCTTCCTTTTCCCCGCCTCAGAGGCCAGGCCCCGGCAGCGAGGACCCCACGGCCGACAGCGTGCGGGCCGTCAGCGTCAGCACGCTCTACCTGGTCAGCACCACCGTGGACAGGATGAGCGCCGTGAGTGCAGGCCCGCCCCGCCCACGCCCCCCCGTGACTGCCGACCCGCGGGGACAGTGGTGGAGCACTCTTGGGGCCACCTCCTCGCAGCGCTGGCCAGACTTCCCGAGCCTGGCAGTGCCTACGGTGGGAGCCCCTCAGGGCGCGCTGCCGGGCCCACACAGAGCACAGCGCTTGCCCTCAGGTCCTCTGGCCCTACCTGCTCGAGTTCCTCACCCCCTTGCGCTTCACCGGGGCGCTGACCCCGCTGTGTAAGAGCCTCGTGCACCTGGCCCAGAAGAGGCGGGAGGCTGGGGCTGATGCCCTCCTCATCCAGTACGATGACAGCAAGGGTACGTGGAGAGGCCCCATTGCCGACCCTGACCCAGCTCCATCCCCAACCCCGACCCTGATCCCGACCACCCCTAACCCCTAACCTTAATCCCAACCACGCCCCACCCCTAACCCCTGACCCTGATCCCAACCACGCCCCATCTCTAACCCCTGACCCTGATGCCGACCCACCCCATCCCTTGACCCAGATCCTGACCCCACCACATCCCCAACCCCTGACCCCTGACCTAGCTCCCCTCCCCGCCCCCAGCCCAGCCCAGGGCTGAAGGCAGGGTGACTGTGGGCAGCCCTCTGAGTATTTCCACCGTCTCTTTCCAGGGACCCTTCCATCTCCCTACGCCATAACCACGAGGCTTCTGGTAAGCAGCACCTCAGCCCTTGGCTTTCACAGCTGCTGGCGCATCGCCTCCCTCTACTCAGGTGGCCGTCTGGCAGCCAGTGCACTCTGGGGGCATCAGGAGAGGGGTGGGCTCTCCCCTCCAGCCTGTTCCTGGGTCCAGTGCTCGCGCTGCCACAGCCGCAGAAAGGACGCTGCCTTGCAGTGGGGGCTGGTCAGGCGCTCTGGTGCGGTTTTGGGGAGCTGCATCTCAGGGGGGCTTCTTGCCTCCACTCCGGGCGAGTGGAGTTCCCACCTCTGCCTTCCTCAGGCCGTGTGTTCCAACCCCTACCTGGGGGACGGCCGCGGGGCAGCCTCACTGCGCCTCCTGAATGTCCTGCACCGTGACATCCACCCTTTGCTGCATCAGCGGTGGGCCACAACCATCCCCCTGCTGCTGGACTACCTAGATGGTGAGGCCCTGGGAGGTGGGCCCCGCCCCTCCACCCCTGACCCCACTTTTGCCAGTTGGCATCAGGGCTGGCCGGTGGGGACTAGAGTTTTGTAAGTTGGAAGAAATGCCCTCCACTGTGGTTCAGGAACATGCCTGGACAGCAGGGCTGGAAAGGCGCTTCCTGCTGAGTGTCAGTTGGGAGCACCTGGCATGTGGGCACAGCCCTGGGCTTCCTTTGTGCTCTGGAGGATGGGGCGGGCCTGGTGGGAGGTCCTGGGCGGGACCTGGGAGGGTGCTCCAGCCCTCCACTCCTGCCTGTTGTCCACTCCTGCCTGTTGGGATGGGCCTGCCTGCCAGGCTGACTAGGTGACTGGTCATTTCAGAATATACTGAGGAAACCCTGTCACAGAAGGAATGGGAGGAAAAGCTGCTGATGGTGAGAAGGCAGCGGAGACTGAGGGTGTGGCCTGTCCTGGGCATGGAGACCTTTTCTGGGCTAGATGGGAGAGCCTGGGGCAGCAGATGCTAGGGGGGCTGCACCTTCCCAGGGTCGTGATGCCTTGATCTGGCGGTGTCCTGAGGGGGGACAGAGGGACAGGCAGGTGTCTCTGGGATGAGGACTGTCTGCTGCCCTCACAGATTGCCCACCCTCCTGTGACAGGGCCAATTACAGGGTTTTTGAGCTGCCCTGGCCACGAGAGCCTTCTCTCCTGTCCCCTGCCTGGCCCAGAGCCGTCTGCACCCTTAGCCTGTTGCATGGCTGACCACCCAGGGTTTGCTCTGCCTGGGCCTGAAGGTCATCCACAGACCATTCTGTCTGAGTCATGGCACAAGATCACCCTGAGGTGACTGCACATGACACCCTGGGCCCCGGGACCCTCCCCAGCCCTGTGGGAGCCGAGCTCCCAGCCCTCACTGGTGTAGCTCCTGCCCGCAGTTCCTTCGGGACACCCTCACTGTTGTGCCTGACAACACGTGGATTTGCCAGCTGAGCCTGGAGATGTGCAAGCAGCTGTCCTGCTACAGCGAGGCGCCCCAGGAGAAGGTGTGTGGGCAGCCAGCCAGGGTTCTGGGTGTGGTGCTAGGCTCCAAGTGCCCAGGCCTGATTCTGTGTCACTTGCTGGCCAAGCCTGTCCCTAGTGGCCCTTGCGGTCCTGGCAGAGCCAGGAAGAGAAGGCCTGGGAGCCTCCTCAGAGTGGCTGATGGCTGGGCGATGCAGGAGCCCGCCACCACCCCTGGCTCCTCAGAACTTACCCTGTCCTTGCAGTGGCTGGTGTCCTGGGTGTCCGACACCCCTCCCACGTCTGGTTGGCGGCGTGGACACTGCCGGGGGCAGCACCACGGTAGTGCTGGGCGCCTCCCCTCGGCAGTTGGGCACAGCCACATTCTTGGCTTCGTTGCAGAACTTCCTGTATAAATGCATAGGAACCACCCTGGGCGCCACCTCGAGGAAGGAGGTGGTGAGAGAGCGTCTGCAGGAACTGCTGGAGACGGCCCGCTACCAGGAGGAGGCTGAGCGTGAGGTGCTGTCACCTTCCCCATGGGAAGCCCTGATGCCAGCGGGCTGGCTGACAGTGGTCACCCTTCGTCCTCTTCAGGCATTCAGCCAGCACATGCATGTGTGTGTGTGTGCATACATGTGGTGTACACAAGTGCACCTATGTGATGTGTGCGTGCATAGGTACGTGCATGTATGCACATATGCACACACACATGCACGTACCTATGCACGCACACATCACACAAGTGCACCTATGTGATGTGCATGTGTGTGTGTGTGCATACATGTGGTGTACACAAGTGCACCTATGTGATGTGTGTGTGCATATGTGCATACATGTGGTGTACACAAGTGCACCTATGTGATGTGTGCGTGCATGTGTGTGTGCATATGTGCATACACGTGGTGTACACAGGTGTACCTGTGTGGTGTGTGCGCATGTATGCACATGCACCGATGGTATGCACGTGCAGCGTGTGAGTGCACCTGCGTGCCTCACCAGGGCCTTGCCCGTTGCTTTGGGATCTGTGCCATCTCCCACCTGGACGACACCCTGGCCCAGCTGGAGGACTTTGTAAGGTCGGATGTGTTCAGGAAATCCATCGGCATTTTCAACATTTTTAAGGTACAGAGGTCAGGCTGACACCCGAGGGGGGTGGTCTGGGGTGGGACTGGCCTGTGATTTGTCTCAGCCATGGCACCCTGCGTTTTGAGATTCTGGGGGTGGGGGGGGTCCTGGAGCTTCCTGGGCTCGGGGTGCCCTGCAGGCTGGGGGTGGGGCAGGAAGCTGGCACCCAATCTCCACTCCCTTGTGGGTGGGGCTGGTGCATGTGGTCACCCTCCCAGCTGGTGACAAGGCGAATGTGGCCCTCTACCAGCCAGGGCGATGAGAGGGGATCCTGGCAGCAAGGATGGGAACTACCTCCCTCCTGTCCCACTGGCGGTCTGTGCGTCAGCCCCCTAGTGGCTGGTGGAGGCTGCATTTTTGCAGAAGCCTGATTCAGGAGGGGTGGACCACTAGTGCGTGCTTCACCCCTCCCCTGTCCCTCAGTGTTCTGTTTCCCAGTGCCTGTCCCAGTTACAGAATCTCAGGGCTGTACCAGGCATGCAGGGCCAGCCCATCCTTGCTGTGCACGTAGGTGTGGACAAGCCCCGATGATAGAGGGGCTCCTGTGCAGCCACCTGAGTGAGGATAGGGACCGCAACTCTGGGCCCTTCTGTTGCCTTTCAGCTCCCCAGCTCTTCCTCCTGCTTGCCCCTCCCACCTTGGTCCCCTACTCGGTCCTTTCCTCTCTGCCACTTGGTCCCCCACAGGCCTGAGCCTGGTCAGCCTGTCCTGGCCTGTCCTGCTGTCCCTGGCAGAGGGACTCTCCCTGGGGTGGGGTGGCGCCACCCACTGGCCGGGCTCTGCCCTTCTTCCCGAGGGACTTGGGAGTTTGAGTGCAAGGCTTCCTGTTGAGGGGCTGTAATTAACTGTGTGATTGAAGTCCTGCGATTCTCTGGCCTCTCAGGATCGAAGTGAGAATGAGGTGGACAAAGTGAAGAGCGCGCTGATCCTCTGTTACGGGCATGTGGCGGCGCAGGCCCCCCGGGAGCTGGTGCTGGCCAAGGTTGAGTCGGACATCCTCCGGAACGTGTTCCAGTGCTTCCACACCAAGGTGGGCGCCCCGGGGCGCCGGGAGGGGCGCCGTGCAGGCGAGGGAGGAGCGCTGACGCTGGAGTCTCGCGTTTTAACTCCTCTCACTTTTTGTTGTTCAGGTTCTGGGCATAAAAGTAGAGACCAAGGTACAGTGTGTAGGAGTTGAGCGTCACTGCGCCTTCCTCTCTTCTCGGCTGGGCTGCGAGCTTCAGGGGCAGAAGCCAGGGTCGCGCTCACTGGGGTTTCTTGGTCCTGGTCCAGGGGAGAGCATTCTGGAACATCACTCCAGGGCCTGTCCCTACTTACTTTGGAGCAGCCCCTCCCTTTGGGGCCAGAATGGGGGTCCAGGAGCTCCTGCTCTGGCCCAGAACCTGGACGGTGGGTGGGAAGAAGGGGGACTTCTGCCACCTCTGAGCAGTTGGGTGGCAGGCTCGCAGGCTGGGGACAGGAGCCTCGGTGGCAGCCCCTCTGCCCCGGCTCTGCTCCCTGATGCTCATGGGGGCTGAACCTCTCAGTGAGCGCCTGGGCGAGGGCTGAGTTCTGAAGCCAGTGACAGTGGCCGGGCCCTCTGCCTCACTAACATGTTTCCCTTCCTTTTTGAATCTCTGGTACTAACCTGGAAGCCCCTCTCTGGGAGCAGTCGAGCCCTCCCCAGAGCCTTCCGAAGCTCCTGGGGTAGGCTGGGGGGCTGTTCTGAGAGTTGTCTCTTTTCCCAAGCCCATTGGAGTAGGGGGGCTGGCCCTCTGTGTCCCCAGGACAGCTCCCCTCATCCCCTTCCCTGACCCCCCAGAGGCCCGTCTGCCTGCAGTCGTCTGCCCAGGGCCCTGACCCAAGAGCTCCTGGCCCGGGACAGGCAGAGAGCTGAGTGCCCTAGGGGTTCCTTCACAGACCCCTCTTGGGCCATGTGGCTTTCACGACAGCTGGTGGAGGACTGGCTGAGAGCCCCTTAAGAATAGAGAGGAGTATGTTTCTGGCTGCAGAGGGAAGAGAGGGTGTGTGGCCTGGCCTCTGTTGCTGGGGCAGCCGCCCATTCTGGGCCCAGCCCCATGGGCTGAGAGACAGTGGCCGCCGCCCAGGGCAGAGTTGTGCTGGGGGCAGGTGTTGGCGGCCTCCTGCAGCCCCATGTCCCTCCAGGACCCAGCCCTGAAGCTGTGCCTCGTCCAGAGCGTGTGCATGGCCAGCCAGGCCATTTGCAGCAGCGCGCAAGCCAGCTCCTTCCACTTCTCGCGGAAAGCAGAGCTGGTGGCACAGATGATGGTGAGTGCTGGGTGGGGCCTGGCCAGGTCCTGGGGCAGCTTCCGGGGCGCTGATGCAGACGGGAGGTGGGCCTGGGGAGGACTGGGAGGCACATGCACAAGGGGCCCCAGCACCTGCATGGGTTGAGGGACAGAGTTGGCTTGAAGCCTATGCCTGAGTGCGAGGAAAGCTGGTGCTTCGGCCAAGGACTGAGTCACATGGCTGCCTCCTCCAGGAGTTCATCAAGGCAGAGCCCCCAGACTCCCTGAGAACACCCATTCGGAAGAAGGCCATGCTCGCCTGCACTTACCTGGTGTATCCTTTCCTCCGGGCGTGTGAGCCTGTCTGCATGTGACGGCCTGTCTGTGTGTGCGCTCTGGGCTAGGGATGCGGCTGGGTCTAGAGAGGCCCTCGGCCCTTAACTTGTGGCTCAGCCCCTTGGAGCCAGCGCTGGAGGAGCAGGCACGGTCGGACATGATCCACGGCTGTCTGCACAGCGTCATGGCCGTGGTGCCTGGGCCCGAAGGGGAGGATGGCGACCAGGAGGTATCACCGCGTGTCCCTCGCTGCAGACCTGCATCTGTGCGGGGCAGTGGGAAGGCCACGGTGGGCGGTGGGGTCACCAGTGGGGCCAGCACCTGGTTTTCTTCCAGTCCCTGTACCTGGACACCACGCACGCCCTTGAGGATCTGCTGACGAGCCTCCTCCGGCGGAACATGACCCCCCAGGGCCTGCAGATCATGGTGGAGGTGTGCAGTGGGTGTGCACTGCCCTGGGAGGGTGGCGCCTCACCTAGCACCCAGCCCCCAACCTGTTTCTCCTGGCCCTCCCTGCCATGGGGGCACCACAGGGACAGCTGGTGCTCTCTTCTGGTGTGGGAGGTCTGTGAGGGGGCGGGTGGCACCCTCTCCTGCCTGAGCAGGTGTGCAGGTGGGGCAGCCCTGACCCCAGATGGAGCCTGTTTTCTGCTCCCCTCACCATCGCATGCTGCCGGGATGAAGAGACACTGCAGGTGCCCCTGATGTGGGCTCCTGACCATCTGGGGCCATCGAGATGACAGAATGGGCAGGTGGTGGCCATGCTGTGTCCTTTCCTGCCCTTTCAGCACTGCAGGGGGCTGGGGCAGGACCGGCCCGCTTCTAGGAACACCCTGTCCCTCTGTAGGCCTGGCTCACTCTGGGTCCACCTGGGGTAGCCATGTCTATGAGCCAGGCCGGCAGGACAGAGTGAGGGGGCAGGGTGAGTGGCAGCGGTGACCTGCTCTGCCTTGGCCCGCTGGCCCCAGCAGCTGGGAAGGGTGGCCTGGCAGGGACACTGACCCACCATAGCACATAGGCTCCTGTTTCGTGGGCTGTCCCCAAGCTGGCGCCTGTGTGAAGCCCCCTCTTCCGCAGCACCTGAGCCCGTGGATCAAGTCCCCAAGGGGCCACGAGCGGGTGCGGGCGCTTGGCCTGAGCGCCTGCCTGCTGCGGTTCTTCCTGGAGCACCTGCACATCAGTGTGAGTACCCACGGTGCCCAAACAGCCGCTGCCCTGTCCCTGGGACTGGCCCCGTGGCTTGGGGACCGCTGTGCGTGACTCTGGTCCCAAAGCACCCTTCGTCTGGCTGCTGCCCTGGCTCATCCTGCATTCTAGTGAGGCTCATGGTTCTCTTTCTGGAGATGTGGACGGAGGACCCATCAGAGCCAGGAATTGTCCTCAGGGCCCCTCAGAGTTGAGTCCGCTGGATCCTTGTCCTCAGGAGCCCACGCGTTAGCCTGGATTAATGTGTGATGTGTTCCCCAAGTGAGGGAAGGGTGATGGGGATGTGGTGTGAAAGGAGAAAATGAGGACGTTTGAGGCAGAAGAAGCAGTCTGGGCAAAGACGGGGACCCGCACGCATGGCATGTTGTAGAAAAGGCCAGTGCTGTGGGGGAGGGGGAGGGAGAGGGAGGGGAGGGGCTTGTTCCAAGACCTGGTTGCTTGCCATGACTTGAGTGTCCGCTGAGACTGAGTTGTGACACTTTTTCAGAATCTCACAGTTGTTCTCACAAGGCCATTAGTCCAGGTGATTTTAGGGTAAATTTGACACAGTCCTAAAATATTCCTGTTGCAATTTTGATGGGAATTGCATGGAATTGATGGGTTGACTTGTTGAGCAATAGCATCTTTTAATAATGGGTCTTGCCAATCCAGGTCCTCAGACCCGTCAGAAACACTGGATAGTCGCTGCATGTAGCATGTTCTGGGTTAGAGGTTTTGTTGTCATTGTTGGGGTAACGTTTCTTCAATTTTATTTAATAATTGCTTATTGCTGGTATGTAAGAAAACTATGTATTTTTTTGATACTTAGAAACTGGGGGGCCGGCCCCGTGGCTTAGTGGTTAAGTGCGCGCGCTCTGCTGCTGCCGGCCCGGGTTCAGATCCCGGGTGCGCACCAACACACCACTTCTCCGGCCATGCTGAGGCCGCGTCCCACATACAGCAACTAGAAGGATGTGCAGCTATGACATACAACTATCTGCTGGGGCTTTGGGGGAAAAACAAATAAATAAAATTAAAAAAAAAAAAAAAGAGAAACTGGGTGGTTGATAAGATTCCTTTGTTATTTATTTATTTATTTTGTGAGGAAGATCAGCCCTGAGCTAACATCTGTGCCAATCCTCCTCTTTTTGCTGAGGAATACTGGCCCTGAGCTAACATCTATTGCCAATCCTCCTTTTTTTTTTTTTTTTTTTCCTTTTTCTCCCCAAAGCCCCAGTAGATACTTGTATGTCATAGTTGCACATCCTTCTAGTTGCTGTATGTGGGACGCCGCCTCAGCATGGCCGGACAAGCGGTGCATTGGTGCGTGCCCAGGATCCGAACCCGGGCCGCCAGTAGCAGAGCGCACGCACTTAACCGCTAAGCCACGGGGCTGGCCCCTCCTTTGTTATTTCTAACGAATTTTTAGGTAATTCCGTTATATTTTTCAGATATAGGATCATATCATTTACAAATGCTGATAATTTTGCCTTTCCCTCCCAACACTCATGCATCTTAGTTCCTTCTGTCATCTAGCACTTCCAGAACAAGGTGAAAACTGGTGGCAGTCCCAAGACTTTACACAGAGTTTCACTGTTAAGCACAATGCTAGATTTCATTGGCAATATATGTATATTTTTTATTATGTTCTGGAAACATCCATCTATTTGTTTTAACGAGGATTTGTATCAGGAACAGATATTGGATGTTTTCAGATATCTATTTGTCATCTATCAGGATGGTTGTAGGCTTTTTCTCTTGTGTGGTTTTTTTTTTTTTTTTAATGTACTCGATCTTTCATTCTTTATGTGGCCAGATCTGCAGTGTGTCTTTCTATGGTTTTTGCCTTCTGTGCATGCTTAGATGGGCTTTTCCCACTCACATTCTTTCGTGGCCTATTTTTCACGTAACCCTCGTCCAGCTAGAGTTCGTCTTTGTGCGCTGACGTGGCCTCCTTAAGAGGAAGAGCAGCTGGCCCCGCGGTCCTTTGTCTTGTGCTCCAGCCGTCTCTCCCACTGGAAACCCCCACACTGGTGACTCGGGGGGTGAGGAGATGCAGGAGAGCCCTCGGCAGAGCCGTGCGCCCCAGGACGGCCTCACACGTGGGAGGCCGATGAGGGGCAGGCGAGGCAGGAAGGCCGAGGGGGTGTGTGTTAGGGTGGGTAGCTGATGCCGCAAGGCCCAGGGCAGGAGGGTGCAGGACCATTTGCCTAGCGCAGGGTGGGGAAGGCTCAGTATTTGAGGAGAGAAGAAAAGGCTCTGAAAGATGGGACCAGGACCCAGTTAGGATGAAAGGAGTCTCATGTAGTCCCCTCACCTGACAGGGGGTTTGCCTTCTAGGGAAGGGGACTTCTCGCAGCTGAATCAGTAGAACCCTACCCCCTCTGCTGCCTGTGGGGGCTCCCTCTTAGTCCCCAGATCGTCCCTCTGCCTGCGCACACCTCCTCCCCTCTTAGGGACCAAGGTAGACTGGATATGGTCAGAGCTGAGCTAACGGAGCCCACACGATGGGGTGGGGGGGGATGGGCCAGCCTGCCTTGCAGAGGGAGGAGCTCGCCAGGGCTCATGCTGGCCACAGGGAGGGCCCAGGGCTGTGTGGACAGGGGCTGCCCTCCTGGCCACACTCCAGCCCATATCTGGGTTCAGGTGACACCTGACTAACCCTGGCATCCTCAGGCCCCAGCCATCCTTTCTGGCCCTCTTCCCCAGAGTCCCCACAGCAAACTCTTGTCTGCCTCTCCAGGCCCTGGTGCCCTTCCACAACTTGGGCCTCCTTGTCGGCCTCTTCTCCCCACGGTGTGCGGACCTGTGGCCTGCCACCCGCCAGGAGGCCGTGAGCTGCGTCTACTCCCTGCTCTACCTCCAGCTGGGCTATGAGGGTGAGCTCCTGGCTGGGCAGAGGTGTTGGAGGGATGAGGAGCAGAGTCTGGGCCTCGAGTGGCCGGCATAGGCCTCCACCCAGCTCCATGCTCCCTCCTGCTTCTGCAGGCTTCTCCCGAGACTACCGGGACGATGTGGCCGAGCAGCTCCTCACCCTCAAAGATGGCCTCGTGCACCCCGACCCTGCTGTCCTCCTTCACACCTGCCACAGCATAGCCCAGGTCCCTGCCAGAGCACCCACCTGGGGAAGGGGGGCCAGCACTGTTTGGAGCAGAGAGGGGCTCTCACATTAGCACCGTGTGTTTCGTGGGCTCTGCAGGGCGCCGGGACAGGGCGCACCATGGGGCCAGTGGGCCTGGGGTGCAGGGACGGGGCGCATGGGCACGTTTCATTCAGAGAATGAGCTGTCTGGACTACCTCTGACAGCTCTACCTCCGTCACCCTCCTGCACTCCCTGGGCTCCTCCCTTGGGCCCAGCAGGGAGGATGTGGTTAGGAGCTCCGCTCCTGGCTCCAAGGGGTTGAGAAAGCTGCCCCTAGCCCACAGCCCCCAAGCCAGGGAGGTGCTGTTGTTCCATTTGGTGCCCACCCCACTGGCTCCTAGCCAGGCTCCAGTCTTGGGGGGTTGCTCCTGCGCGTGGGCCATCCCACCCTGGCACCCTGGCAGGAGCTCCTGAAGGCGCGCAGGGCCTGGAAGAGGGCAAGGAAGGCTGGAGGAGGGACGTGAGACAGGAGATGGTGTCAGCCCTTCCCAGAAGCTCAGCCCCTGGGATGTTATGGCAGGGATGCTGACGCCGCCCTCTCTGTTCTCCTGACACAACTGTCCTCCTAGATTATTGCGAAGCGCCTCCCGCCAGATCAACTCATCAGCCTCTTGCTAACCATGTTTGAGAGCCTGGGAGACCCTGACAAGAACTGCTCCCGAGCTGCTACTGTCATGATCAACAGCCTGCTGAAGGAGCGGGGCAACATGCTCCTGGAGAAGGTGAGGCCCGTGGGGCTGGGGCACGGTGCAGGTGTGGCTTGGTCTGGGCGGGGTGTCTATGAGCGGGACCTAGGCCAGCAGAGGTAAGCTGGAGCTCCCCCTCGCCTCCCCTGCTTTGCCCCTATCCCTGTGGGGCTGATAGGGAAAATTTTTCTCTTCTGTTTGAAGACAGAGGTTAGAATTTGGCAAAAGTAACTGCTGAGGAATTAAGGGGAGAAAAGGAAATGTAAAGGAAATGCAGGTGTGGAAGTGTGCCAAGCTGGCGGCGGGCAGTGGGTGAACTCCCTGCTCCTGTTTTTGGCGAGGTCACAGGCCTGAGGTTACCAAGGGCCTGCATGGAGAGTCCTGCAGCGGGCTGGCCCACAGAGGCTGTTCCTAGGACACCCAGGTGCTGCACTGCTGTTACCCCATCACCTCAGCCTCCTCTCTGGGCGTAAGCTCAGGTGGCTGTCCACATAGTTGTTCCCAAACGTGCCTTGGCAGCGACTCTGTCAGATGCGTGTGAAGCCACAGCTGAAATGCACGGCCCTGCGCTCTGGTCCTTCTAGGTCTGAGGGACGCTCCAAGGACCAGGTGGCTTCTAGAGCGCATGCCCGTGAGTCCTTTCCAGGCAGACGGCAGGCAGGGTCCCTGTTTGCCTGGAGGGAGGTTTTAAGTTCCGTGTTGAAGTGAAGCATACCGGCAGAGAAGTGAGTGGACTTGTCCTAAGTACGGGGCCCAAGGAGTTCGCACAGACAGGCAGGAGCTGAGCGTCCCACAGCTCCTGAGCCCCTGTGCCCCCAGTCGATGCCCCAGGGGGTGCCCCCACCTCCCTGCATTACGGAGCTTGGCCTGGTTTGTACCTGTCAACTTAAAAAGCAAGCTTGCCTTTTATTTTATCCTGAAAAGGACTTTATTTGGGAATAGCCAAAATAATTGCAACTTGGGATGTGCATGCTATAGCAAACCATAGGCAAATCCAGAGAACAAAGGAGGGGAGCTGCCTTTGTAGAGAAAAAGGGGGAGCAGAGAGGGGCTGTTCTAAAGGAAAGACCCTTTGGGAAAGTAGCAGTTCAGGGGGGCAACGGCTTCTCATTGGCTGAGCTGTGGTGTTTCTAATTGGCTGGGCTGTTGCCCGGTGGAGAGAGAAATCTTCCTTCATAGTAAAGAAGTTTTACTTCCTGTGGAAGAAGGAGGCACCTCTCTTCCTGTTTGGTGTTATTGATGGTGTGTGATGGGGCTGAGAGCTCCTTCTATAGGCCTTCCTAACTCCAATTTAGTTAAGGTTTCTTTTATTAACTTTCACATTTTCCCCTTTTGATAAAGATCTTTCTCTGAAAGCATCACTGATCAACAGTCAGGTTCTCTGCACATAGTGGTTTTGTCCCTCAGTGCCAGGACGGACCTTTCCTGGTTGTCGTGTCCCACATTGGAGGGAAAGTGCATGGTGGTTGGAAACCATTTAAGCCACATTGAGTAACACGGAAGGTTAGGAGGGAGAACTCTCAGGCATTTCCCATCTAAAGTCTATTTTCTCCAAGGCCTTGGAGATCATCTTGAAGTGCTGAGATAGCATCACCTTATTAGGTACGTCATTTCTACAGAGCTTCAACAGGCAATAGGTACAGAACTTCACAACAAGTAGACAGAGTAAGATTAAGAGCAATACTATAAGCCCAGTTTGCAGATGGTCCTAAACCAGGAGCCCAGACCTGAAGGTACCAGCTGAACAAATCAAAAGACTGGATTGTTAGGGGAAATTGGTTGTAGCCACTGTGCTTGCTCTCTAACCTCATGTAAGTGGGTTGTCACTTCCCCAGAGGCACTTATCCATGTGCACCAGGAGGCGTTCGCCACTGCACAGACACAGCGAGTAGATAATTGAGGGCTACATGATTACCCAAGACCACCTTGGCCAATAAGTTAAGTGACCATTGCTGAGCTGAAACTGCTTTGGCTGTTGAGTCAGCCAGCTCTTCTAGAGTCAGGGAGAGATTCCTGATCATTTGTTCATTGCCACTCACTCTGATCCACAGGAAGAAAGTTCTTCCAACAGAGGCAAACCCAACGTCACATATACCTCCTAGAAGTTCTCATTTAGGGTGACTATGGGGATTTAATGGGAGAGACCAATGAGAGGTCTCTGGTTATGCAGAGAGAACAGGACAGTGAAGACAGCAAGGGCACGCTGTCCTTGTATTCTCCAGCTGTCAAGGCAATGAGTTGCCCAAGCATAAAGGCCATTACTGAATCCTCCACAGATGAAGACATAACCTTCATGGGGGTGTACATAAGGCCCCCACATAAATGATAGTATCCAGACTGTTCATTGGCATAGAGGCATTAGCATTATATAACCAAGTCTCAGATACTATGCTGTTACACACCAAGAGGTTGCCTAAATACATGGATATATCAAGAAATTTACAGGGGCTGGCCCGGTGGTGTAGCAGTTAATTGTGGGCACACTGCTTCGGTGGCCCGGGGTTCGCAGGTTCGGATCCCGGGCACGCACTGACGCACCACTTGTCAAGCCATGCTGTGGTAGCATCCCATATAAAGTAGAGGAAGATGGGCACAGATGTTAGCCCAGGGTAATCTTCCTTAGCAAAAAAAGAGGAGGATTGGCATCAGATGTTAGTTCAGGGCTAGTCTTCCTCACACACACACACAAAAAAAAAACAGAAGAAAAAGAAGAAATTTACAGATGGCCTGGGTTACATTGGCGGCTCCACAGAATTTTTCATAAAAATATTCAAAAGATCTTGTTTTCTCCTCCCTAGATTGGGTCAAATTAAAGCATGGGACAAGTTTAAGCTGGCTTAGCACCCTGAGTCAGTAAAATGGGCCAGCAGATCAATTTAGACAAACAATAGCATCTAGAATCCCAGTGAAACTACTTATAGGGTGAACTAAGGGGTCATTACTGTCTTGGACAGACTGCGGTTTCTGATGGGAAATTCAGCAATCAGAGAGGTTTCCCCCTTTTGCCAGGGATTGGGAAATGCAGACAAGGGCATTGTCCCTCCAGGAAAGGGAGAGAGAAAATAAAGTAAGAGGGCTGGCCCCGTGGCTTAGCGGTTAAGTGCGCGCGCTCCGCTGCTGGTAGCCCGGGTTTGGATCCCGGGCACGCACCAACGCACCGCTTGTCCGGCCATGCTGAGGCCGCGTCCCATATACAGCAACTAGAAGGATGTGCAACTATGACATACAACTATCTACTGGGGCTTTGGGGGACAAATAAACAAATAAAATTATTAAAAAAAAAAAAAGATTAAAAAAAAAAAAAAAGAAAAGAAAGTAAGAAACAACAGTGGTAAGAGAGTGTACAGGCCTGGTCCAGTCATCTCAGGAGAGCTGTCTGCCTCAGATATCAGCTGCCTCTCTTCCTAGTCGATGTGATCTGGAGTCTCCAGTGTTTGTGAAGGACCAGATGTCAGGTGGAGCCTTCTTCAGCTGTGAGATGTGCACCCAAGGCTTGAGTCTCTGAAGTTTGGCTGCCATATGGGTAGTGAGGAGGACCTGGTACAGCCCCTTCCAAGGAGATTTCAAGGTAGTAAGATTGGAAATGTCAGTTTGGAGTATTGTAGCCAGACATTTAAGGAAACTAGAAGAATTAGGATCCAGTCGAGCTTATAGGTATAACAAAACCTTAAAGACAATTAATAGGACTAGAATTTAATATCTACAAAGGTGCAAACATTAATTTCTCTCTCTATTTTATTATTATTAACCCCCATTATTTATTAAAGATAATCATAGTAAAACTAATTTGTTTGTATTAAACTTGGCCTGATTACTTATATAAATGCAGCAAGAATAGTGATTGACCATATAAGCTCTTTTTTAAGATTGCTTTGCTGGAACCTTGTAAGCAAGGTACTAGGCTGATTTTCCAAGCAGTTCCTTAAAGCTGTCTGGTCACGTCTGGATCTGTGTACATCTTTCTTGAATATAACAGTCTAGTCAAAGCCTTGGTAATGTAGCCAATACTTTCTATGGTGTCCTGTTACAAGGAGAACAGACCTTCACTGAACCCATGCAAATACATACATTGTCATGAAAAGAATACTTAAGGGATCATGTAGAGAGAAAAAGATAAATGTTTCAACCCTTGTTGCAAAGATACACTTGACAAAATTGCTGTAAGTTATAGGTAGCTTAAAGGAGAGAAGAAAAAGTGGTCCTTTACATCTGGAAAACTAAACATTAAAACTATCAATCCTCCACTTGAGTTCCAGAAATTCCCACCCAGTTCAGTGTTATGATCTTAAAGTTATCAAAACCTGTATCCAGAGTACTGGTCAAGCTCTTTTCCATAAGTCTGTTCGAAAATGAAACATATTTGTAAAAGCATCAGAGTAAAACAGTAACTGTCTGTAACTGACAAAAGACTTTTTTTTTTTTTTAAAGGCAATGGGTAAATACAATTGACAAGAAAATTTGGGTATTTTTGTACGTTCAGATAGTAGCTAGAATTACAGGTGATAACATTATATTAGGACATATCAGATGTTTAGGAACTTTATACAATTTCTGGAACACTTTTTAGTAACATTCACCCAAATAATATAACCTAAAAAGGTTTATTATCATTTATTCAACCATGCTTCTCATGTAATTTGACATACCAAATAATCCTAACTAGTGTAATATCTTTCTTTTTATAAGGAGAGGGAATAAATATTTTGAGATGTCCCAGGTGCCCCTTGGAAAATTCCAAAGTTACATCCTGGTAGAAAAGTTGTCATTTAGAATTTGAATATTTTGGAAAGCTTAGAAATATCAGAAGGTTTGGACACTTGAGAAATAGGATCACAGATCATTATGAAATAATACTTAAGTATCTATTTGACCAAAGTAACAATAACAGGTTTCTAAGGCAAATACAAAAGGTTACATAGTTGTAAGCAAATCTTAACTCCTCCAATACCAAGAAGACTCAGTTCTCTTAGGTAATTAAATACCTGATAGAATCAACACAGGAAATTATTTTGACAAAACACAAAATCTCTGTTTTC